TCAATGTGCTCTGTACTTACAAGATGTTTTGGTCACATCCAGATCCTGTAGCTCAACTGGTAGAGCATTGTTCTTGTAATATATATATATATATATATATATTTGGTCTGTCAAATCGATTAATCGTGATTAATCACATCCAAAATAAAAGTTTGTGTTTACATAATATATGTGCGTGTACATATGTGTGTGTATATACACAGCACACACATATATATTATGTAAACACAAACTTTTATTTTGGATGTGATTAATCGCGATTAATTGATTTGGCAGCCCTTATGTGTGTGTGTGTGTGTGTGTGTGTACATAATAAATACCAATCTTTAATACCTGTCAATTGAATAATACCAATAATCAATACCCATCTTTAATACCTGTCAACTGAATTATGATGGTTTCATAGTCTTTGCAGACAAAATCTACCTTGTAAAATGCATGTGAGCTGGTAATGTAATTTCGATATGAGTTGTAATTTTGATATTTTTATAATTATTTCTTATAATTTTGTTTAGTTTGGTTCATAGTTTTACCAGGATTATGGCATTTAACGTAACCTGTGTTAGCATCTGTCTAATTTGAGTTTCTATCAAGTGACCGATGAATTTTTTACAGCCTTAGACACTTTCCTCACCATTGACAGAATGTTCCATCATTTATGAGACAACGCTTCATTCCTTTCTTCTGTGGAACACTAAAGCTGATTTTTAGCTGAACCCAGGGTTCTTGGTGACTCATAATATACAAGTCAATGGGTGCCTTCACTTTGAGAGTCAAAAAAGCAGATACAGAAAACATACAATTAATACCCACAGCTCCTGACAATATATTATGAAGGTCTTATGAAGTGAAACAACTGATCTGTGCAATAAAGTAGATTTTATTTACAACATTATTACTTGTAATCCATAGCCTCTTAAAGTGATGGAACCCGCTAACTTGTATATGAACCACCAAGGCCCATGGATTCAGCTAAAAATCATCTTCAGTGTTCTACTGAAGAAAGTAAGTGATCTACATCTTAGATGGCCTGAGGGTTAGTAAATTAACAGCAAATTGTTATATTTGGGTGAACTGTTCCTTTAACAACAAAAAATATAGGAAGCGTTTTTTTGTTTGTTTTTTTTTCTTCCATTTGATAAGATAATAAGCCCAAGTCTGTTGCTATACATGCTAACTATGCACAATGATATTATTGTTTGTGTTTTATTATTTGCATTTAGCCCCGCTGTCTGTGACCTGCGAAACATTTTTGGGTCACAGGCCACCAGTTCAAACATCAACTACTGTTTTAAATGCTTTACAACTACTTGGAGCACAAAGTCCCAGTGTTCCATAATATGATCTCACCCAATAATTTTAATTTACTTCAAATTTATTTCCTGAACACTTCAAGCTTCAAGCTGCTTCCATAATCTCAGTTATGCTCTTCCAGAGAAGTGTATATATCAGGCTGTCTGTGGTCTAACCTATTTGAGTAGAATCTGCCAGGCACCATACTTTACCTTTACGACTTCAGTCCAGGCAACAGCAGTCTGGACAAACATTACCTTAACACTCCTCCCCAACGTGACCCCAAACTCACATCTATTATTCTCTCCTCTCAATCGCCCCCAAATGTTTCCCATCAGGCCATGAGCCTGTGCAAAAAGCGTGTACATGTATGTGTGTGTTAGTGTGGGGCACCCAGTATGAATGGCAGGCGAATACTAAGTGCAGTCTGATTGAAAAGGTAATGTTTGAACAATAAAAGGGAATGCTCCGGCCTTCATCCATTTGACGCATGCCGATTCATCAGCCTTGCTCTCTTTCCTCATGCTGTTGTTCAGCGAAGCTTTAGCACATGTTTATTCACTTATTTTTATGGACCGAAACATGTTGTTATCCTCTTTTCAATTACCCGAGCCCTGCTGGTGAAATGACCTCTTGAAGCTCTTTGTTGTTCAATAGTCCATTCTAGAGCCGAGTGATACATTCCCCGAGGCCTGTCTAATGGCCGTAAAGGTAGTATCCAAAATGGTGTTAAAAAAAATATTCGTAGGGAAGCCCAAGAAGCTGTTTGATTAGGTTGTTAATGGCTGTGGTGAAGTGGTTTAACCTTTTATATCATTCTCTCGATTTTTAGAGCTTGTACAGTATAAGTAGGAAATATGCATTAAAAAAAGTACATGATACAACCATGGCAACAACATGGCTTCTTTTTGATACAATGATACCATGTTAATACATGTTTTTCCCCTGAAATACCATGTAAAGTCTATGCTGTGAGAGAAGAAAAGGACAATTAGCAGTCTGGACAAACATTACCTTAACACTCCTCCCCAACGTGACCCCAAACTCACATCTATTATTCTCTCCTCTCAATCGCCCCCAAATGTTTCCCATCAGGCCATGAGCCTGTGCAAAAAGCGTGTACATGTATGTGTGTGTTAGTGTGGGGCACCCAGTATGAATGGCAGGCGAATACTAAGTGCAGTCTGATTGAAAAGGTAATGTTTGAACAATAAAAGGGAACGCTCCGGCCTTCAAGTCACGCCTTCATCCATTTGACGCATGCCGATTCATCAGCCTTGCTCTCTTTCCTCATGCTGTTGTTCAGCGAAGCTTTAGCACATGTTTATTCACTTATTTTTATGGACCGAAACATGTTGTTATCCTCTTTTCAATTACCCGAGCCCTGCTGGTGAAATGACCTCTTGAAGCTCTTTGTTGTTCAATAGTCCATTCTAGAGCCGAGTGATACATTCCCCGAGGCCTGTCTAATGGCCGTAAAGGTAGTATCCAAAATGGTGTTAAAAAAAATATTCGTAGGGAAGCCCAAGAAGCTGTTTGATTAGGTTGTTAATGGCTGTGGTGAAGTGGTTTAACCTTTTATATCATTCTCTCGATTTTTAGAGCTTGTACAGTATAAGTAGGAAATATGCATTAAAAAAAGTACATGATACAACCATGGCAACAACATGGCTTCTTTTTGATACAATGATACCATGTTAATACATGTTTTTCCCCTGAAATACCATGTAAAGTCTATGCTGTGAGAGAAGAAAAGGACAATTTAAAAAAATCTAGTTTAAAATGTTTGTATTTATGTTGGTTTTATGTAGTTAAAAAAACAACTTTTTTATACCATTTTCAAGATTTACAATCATCTAACCTTGCCTTGTCATAAAAAGATTCATTCATTCATTCATTCATTCATTTATGTTGGTTGGTTGATTGTACATGGCTTTGATTTTGGGGATTTTTTTTTCATTTAGTAATAATTATTGTAGTGGTTTTGTTATTTGTCTAATTATAATAAATTATGCCAATTATGCCAAACTACTTGTGTTGTTTTTTCGTCACAGATTTAATTCTTTTTTTCTGTATTATATCACCCTGACATTTTGACTTTATGAACCCCCCACCCCACATATCAAAATATCAAAATTAATTTTATGAAATCAAAACCATGCCCATCATTTAACAGGTTATTTTATGTATTTTTGAATAAATTAATTTTTTTTAAAAATGCATTGACCCAAATACTTTAGTAAGTGAATTATACAGTACCAACCTCTATAAGAGAGGATCTCTTTGCCAGGACGTGCTGAGTTCATGATGACAGTGTCATCATTTATAACATGTTCACCTTTTTCCCCAAGGCATCTTGTATGTTCAAATATTCATTAAGTATACTGGACATGCTGTGGAAGAGTTGAGGACAAAGAAGTATTCAGCTTTTGCCAAGGTAATGAAACCGTATGACAGTTTAAGATATTCTTTCCACCTTCAGCAGCAAAAGTTACACCATCGACCTCCAGGTAACTTATGAGAAGAGGTCCTCCGGTTTCCTCCCATTCCAGCAGATCCCATGCATGCTTGCTAATATATAGCGCTGCTGTTAGATGCCATACTCAACATGTTTTCCATGAGCAAAGTTGGGCACTTTCTGATTTTTTTTTTGGACATTTTTCTTCAGTTCAGTCAATGGGAGCTATTGTGCGCTCGTGTCACCCTGTGTTAATTTGGGCTCTAATGTATTTGATAAACAAAGGGGCGCTCTTTAGCCTGACAGTCGTGACACCCTGATTCTTGCGTGGGCGCCGTGTAGCGCAGGGTTACGCCGTTAATAACCCACTGGCAGCCATCAAAGGCGCTTTAACCATGATCATTATGATAAAGGGCATACACTTAATTACAGGCCTGCTTAATTATAGCTCTGTTGAAGCTCGTTTGTTTGGTAGAATGCTAATTATACCACCGCACTCTTGGCAAGTCCTCTTTCAATCCACCTCTCTCTTTCTTTCTCGCTCTCGCTTTCTCTCAGAGAGCCGAACACTCTGGCTCATTTTCATGCAAATTGATATCCGGCGAATGTTTTGTCTCTCTCTTTCCCCTTTTTCTTTCGACGTGTGCGAGTGGGGCTTTGTTTTTGGAGTCAAACGTCTCCCTGACAAGACAGGATCAGGAATAATCAAGAGTAATTAACAGGGAAAGAGGGAGGAGAGCGAGTGGGGGGCCCTCAAATACAGTGGAGGATAAAAAGGGCTTTCATCTCGCTTTGTCTGAGTGGGTTTCCGAGGGGATTTGGGAACTTTCAGTGTTCTACTATTTTCGACCATTAGATTAAGTCATATGCATTTTCAGAACATAAAGAACAGAACTTAATATTGAAGGTGTTTGTTTGGAATATTACTTTAATATTTTAATATTTATTTTTATGATTTATTTATTTTTATATTGTATTTTATTACGCTGATCTCTGATTGGTCAGTAGTGGAGTTGTCAGTGCTGGCAACCAGTTTCCTGCACTTTACTAGTTTCATGTTTCTCTTATGATTTCACACTCTTTTTGTTCTCTAATAAAAAATTCAGTTCAAATGTTTAATGTCCATTTATTTACATTTTAATGTGATAATATGCAGCTAGGAGGTCTTTTTTTTTTCAGATCCCTTCAGGATCTGGCTTGTAAGTCATTATCACTTCATTATCACTTATATATTTTTCTCTCTTTCCAGCTATGCATGATATACCCTTTATGATCTCCAAAAAAATCTATAACCACAACCAGAGTTGAAGTAAGTGCTTCTTAAAAATAATAAATAAATAAAATACTAATAATATTTATTATTATTATTATTATTATTATTTATTTATTATAATAATCAGGTGACCCTTTACCTTTAGGTTATATTAGTTAATGCTGCATTAACTATGCATTAGATAACATTAACAATATATTTGTTACAGAATTTATTAATATTTGTTAACATTAGTTATTAAAATATATAATATATAATACATAACTTACAGTTATAATGTATAACTATAATAAAATATATCACATAATATATATACAGTATATATATGTTCATTGTTATTTCATGTTATCTCAGGTCCTTTAAATAATATTAATATATAAAATGTTTAATTTTAATAATGTATTAGTTAATGTTGAAATTAACAGAGATTAATAATTGCTTATTTAGTGTTTTTCATTGTTAGTTCATTAACTAATATAACTTAACAAAATGGAACCTTATTGTACAGTGTTATACATTTTTCAAACAAGTTTTCCCAAACACTTCCCCAGTCTTTCATTGGTTGGACAAACAGAAAGTCCCGCCCCATTGGTTGAGCCAGTGTCGCTATGTAAGGCTGACCCTGATGCTCAAATAGACCTGTCACTGTGCTACTTGATGCAACCAAACTTTTTCTAGACCCCCATCCCACCCAGATGTTGAGCTGTGATGTGGAGTCAGTGGTGCACAAGCCTTTAGCACTACTGTAATGGATCTGCGGCTGATGAATGCATGCAGCCAGGCAGAGCTGGCTCATGGAGGGCCATTTGGCCCCTGTCACAAGAGCTCTGTTCTTATTGTCAGAGAGACAATGAGAGCGAGAGAGAGGATTAAAAATCTTAAGCATGCTTACTTAACCATGGGCACAACCATAATGTCTCCTGTCTGTTTTCATATGTCTTTTTTTTTTTCCAGATAGAGTCAGTCCTTTTCTTGAAAATTACCATCAAATCACCACAAGAGATTGAGGAGGAAGTAAGTTCAAATATGCTCAGGTAGACTTAAGGTGCTCAGGTAGGCCCTGAGAGTATGGTTTACATACATATGCAGACGTTATTTTATATTGTTTTACACTGGGAAAAAAAGTGATTTGAAGTAATTTTCACTCAGAAATTGCTAGTAAATTTCACAAATAATTTATAAAATAACAAAGTTACAAAGGATAAATAACACATTGAATTAAGCATGAAATTTTGAGGTAGAAAGGCAGAAATAGTATTTTCTTGTAAAACATACTCCAATAATATTTGTTTTTATCTACAACTTTGAAAAATATTTTTTTTTGTGTATGTGTACGTGTGTTGAAAGGCTTATCTATATGTGGTCTCAGTTGTTTGATGCCATAATCAGCAGCTTATCTGCTAATATTTACCAATATGATTTTTAATTTATATATATATATATATATATATATATATATGATGATGAATAAATGTATATTATTATTATTATACATTTATTCATCATTTTAAAATATAGATTTTAGGTAATTTTCCAATTAATTTCCTCTTCAGTAAGTGAGCTCAAAATTGCCTGGATAATTATGTTGAGAGACTAGGCAGCTACAATGAAGTAACAAAAAAGTTTCATTATTATTATTGTTAAAAATTGTTAATTATATTGATAATAATAGTAATAGCAGTAATGCAATAAAAATGTTGTGTAAGGAGGCAGTAGTGCAAGTCAGTTCATGGCCTGACATTTTTGTTAAAAACAAAAGAAAATGAACTTAGCCACACAAAAGACTGATAATGGCTTTCATTTCATTACAAGTCATTATTGAATATCTGGAATAAATTATGTGAAAACAACAGGATTTTGTTTTATAATGGCAGTTTCTCTTTGTTTAGTTATACATATTTACTATCACGCTGACCCCCCTTCCCATCAACACTTTTCATGGCGCAACTCTCCTCGAAGCAACCTGTGATTAGAAGCAGCAGACCTAGCACGAGGGGAGGGGGGATTCATTAATTACAGCCTAACGCAGGCTCCGCAGATGAAGTAAAGCAGAGATAGTGTAACTGCACTGGGTTTAGTGAGGTGGGCGACAGCACAAGATTAATGGAGAAGCGAGGGCTGACGGCGACGGAGTCGGAGCGCTGCCCTGATAATTAGAATCAGTGTGAGAGCATCCACAGCTATTGTTCTTCAGCCGCATCTTCGACCTGGAATGTGATTTCCCTGCCACCCTGTCAAAAATGCAAGCCGGGATGCTCTTGCTCTGAATCAGTCACTATTGGTCATATATTGCTTGTGTATGATCCTCTGACATGAACCAAAAAAAAAAGCACAAAAAAGGACAAAAGGATGTAAATTTTAAGATTTTTTAAAGGACAAGTTATATTTATTGTTATTATGAATAGTATGATTATTATTAATAGTAGTAGTATTTATTTGTATTTTTTTTTGCATTAAATATATATATATATATATATATATATATATATACAGTATCTCACAGAAGTG